CTCTCTCTCTCTCTCTCTCTCTCTCTCTCTCTCTCATTAAAATAACAATTGCTGCAAATTAATGAGTTTTGTTATTTAAATAAGTTATACAGCAATTAAATTATAAGTTGAAAATTATTATATAAGTTAATACATGTTATGCCAAACTCGGTAAAACATTGAACTAATATTTTTTTTATTGATAGTTAAAGGTACAATTTAAGTTAATGTTACGTGATAATTAATAATTAATATTAACATTAATTAACAAATTATAAATTATTAATTGAAAAAATAATTGTATAACATTGTTAAACATTAGGATTAAAGTGGGGATTATATTATAAATTATAAACATATTTAATTGAGCAATGCTAATATAATATTAAATATCAGGGTTAAAATGGGAGGCGTGTCGAGCGCCCCAAAACCCGGGCTCGTCTGATGTAATGCGAAACACTTTGCCAGAGTTGGGATATTTAATCATATCCTGGTATAACATACAAGTGGTCACAAACATCTGATCCAACGCCTGCCCCCCGAAGATAGGTGTTGTGGTGCACAGAGACGGCACTGGTATTGACTGCTCAACTCTAGCTACAATGACCATGGTAAGTTCATATAAGTTTATCCATGGTAAGTTCGTACATTACTTAATTAAACTTATTAATAATTAGTGTTTATAACAAAATACCTGTTTTGGGATTAATGCTAACTATTCGTCCGCCATTGAATATTGAGACCCAAAGGTTACCACTTTTATCTACGGTCATACCGTCGGGTCCCGTTGGCACCGGTCCGGCGACAACGTCTGGGAAATCAGGGTTTGCGATCAGATCCACAAACACTCGCATATTTGCTAAATATTTTCAATTAAAAATTATGCAAATATTAAACAAAATATTATATTTATGTGTTGGTCTATAATTGTCTGTCTATTACCATCTACTGTCAATATAAATAAAAAATTAAATATTTAAAGAAAGCAATTTAAAATTATGTAATTAATACAAAATATTAAATGATAACTATACATTTATGTTTCAAAATATTAATTAAATACAACTGATCACGAATAAATAATTTAGTCATTAATTCAATCAATACATACTTAATGTAGCGTTTTTCAGCTCAAAGTCAAACACATAGATTTTCAGGTCTCCGGAGTCGATGAGGTAGAGCCGAGTGTTGTCCGGACTCCAGGCCAGACCGTTAGCCATTGTGAACCCGGTGGCCATTTGTGATAGTTGATCATGTTGTAACTTATACAGACCACCCTTAATGGTCGGGTCCATCGGGTCTGAAGTTGTGCCGATCCAGAGGCGTCCCATGGCGTCACACTTACCATCATTAAACTTCTCCTTGCGCTCGTGTGCCAACTCAGCTACCGGTGCGGCCGTACGGGTAGTCGTGTCGTATTTGACCAGTTTGTTACGGACACTGACCAACAGGTGATGATTGCTGTCCGCATAGGGTATGACAATAGTGGCCGGATCTGTGGCATTGTATGAGTCGAGCTTCGCGGGGCTCGTGTGGTGGTCTTCGTGGTAGAAGTGAGTGCTCCACGAGTCCACAAAGTACAGGGTATCTGTTGTGTAGTCCCAGTGCGGACCCTCACCCACACTGTAGGCGCCGGTGCTGTACGGCTCCACTTTGTAAGCACTTTGGCTCCCGTGAACGGCCATTGTCAACAATAATACACATGATTTTAGTAGCATGATACAAAATATACATAAAACTTTTATTATTTTTGTTAAGGCAAACAATAATGTGTTATAAACAATATATGTAATAAATTACAGATATATTAATTGCTTATATATTTAATATCGTATATGGACTTTGAATGACAGGTATGCTGTGATAAACAGTAATTAACTTAATCATTATAATGTTAATGTTGCAATAGCCAATGTTATTTATTTTACATTAGTTCGTTTGTTGCGTAATTTATTTATAAGATTATTACACTTATAATTAACTATAAATTTAGATATTAATTATTAAAACAATCTAACCTGGTGATAATAGTTTCGTTGTATTTACGTTAATTACAAATTTATTTTATATAAATAGTTATTGTCATTAATTGAGAGAAATGAGTTAAAAAGAGTAGGATTTCATTGTTGGACACTATTTGTCATCAATAATACGCAAGGCTTTGAGGTTATTATTTTACCATTTGTATTAAAATATTTGTTTTATTACTTTTGTATTTAATTTATAGATAATAACATTAATTATGTTATTTTTGAAAATTCTGAATATCTCTAATAAATTATTATATTAAGTTTTAATATAAGTTGTTACCTCATTATATTATATTTATTTAATGTAGTCAATAACGAAGTATAGAAATTACAAATATTTAAGTGTGTATTCAAATGTATTCATTTTAAGTTATATTTTATATTAATTATGTATACTATTTATATTATGTATATTAAATAATTTTGTCAATGAATGTAATGTTAGATATTTCTGATTTCTAACTTATATAAAATATTAAATATATATTAAATAAAAAGTTTATATATTTTATCAAATTTTGATATTTATAAATGTAACTTTATTTGTTACTGATGTAATGTGTATTAAATAGTAGACTCGTGTAAAATTGTTATAATTATTAAATAAAAATGTATATTAAATTTGCTACTTAAATGTATTATGCAAAGTTAATATTTATACTGTATTAATAATTAGTTAAAGTTCAAATAATGTAGTTAACAATAATTATATATTGAAAATCTTCATTAGCAAGTTTTATTTATCGATTAACATGTTTACTTTTTAAACGAAAAAATAAATTACAAAAAAAACAAAAATTATTTATTTTTTAATAGACCAAAGCAGTAATTATATTTATATTTATAGAACACTAATAATCATTAAGACAATAGACTTTTTATGAATTTTATACATAATATTTTAATCTGGTAAAGGTAAAGAAAAATTAACAATAGAAATATAAAGTTATGAGTATTAAATTACATAAATTATCAGTATTTATTGCTGCTTTATAATGTGCATAAAAACACACGAATAAATTTTAATAATCATTTTATTATTAAAACTAATCATATCATGAAGAGTATATATTAAAATAATTTTTTCTCTTATACTCTTTTTCAAGTATATTAAAGAATAAATATAATTTAGTGAATTAATCTGTAAACATGGTTAATAAAGTAAATGCAATTAATGTGAAAAAAGTGTTGGCACCGGAGGTAAGGGTGCGATCGGCGGGCAGTCATCTCTATAGCATTGGTCTCTCATTATATCCAATGCTTCACAAAACAAACGCTCATTTCGTAATCCAATTCTCAAATCTATATCGAAGTTAATAAGTCTAATGTATTATTTAATTCACTATTTAGATTCTACTTTTTCAACGCAGACATCTTTCTCACCTTGGGTAGAGTGCTACAAGGTCTTGTTTTACATTGAAATTTTTAAATTTTGAATTTATAATATAAAATGTTTAGGTTTGTCATTACCAATGTATATTAAAACTCTGTAGCACTCTACTCAAGGTGAGAAAGATGTCTGCGCTGAATAGGTAGAATTTAGATTATTACCATAAACTTATTAATTAAATATTAAGATTAAGGTAAATTATATACATAAACTAATAATCATGTAACATTTGTAATTAATTTATTAAAGAGTTATTAACACTTATTGAGAGAAATGGGCTAAAAAGAGCTGAATTTCATTGTTGGACACTATTTACCGTTAATTATATGCGAGGATATGAGGTACTAACAAAATTTTATAAATTAACATAATTACAAATTAATCAGCTTTTATATTATTATTTAATACAGATATTTAGAGTACAATTACTTATTCTCAATATAAATTGTTATTAATATTGGTATTACCATTATTTAGCCTTATTTATGACCATGGGTTTTGCCATGCAATTGGTGTGCAGTTATCTTTATAGCATTCGGTCTTTTATTATATCCAATACAATAGAGATGACTGACCGCCGATTGCAACCTCACAGACTGTGCCAACACTTTATTCACATCAATACTATCTATAATAATGTGTTTTATTTAACCAACATTGTTATTAGTAATAACTTATTACCACTTATGAACAGTAAAATACATACATTATTACTTTATGTTCGCTTGTATACAATAGTGATATGAAAAGGCAATTAATACTAATATAATATTAAATATTTGGGTTAAAATGAGACGCGTGTCGGGAGCCCCGGAAACCGGGCTCGTCGGATGTGATGCGAAACACTTTGCCTGCGTTCGGGTATTGTGTCATATTCTGGCCTAACATACCGGTCGTCACAAACATCTGATCCAATGACTCGCCCCCGAAGATTGGTGTTGTGGTGAATAAGGCCGGCACTGGTATGGACTGTTCAACTCTGGCTACAATACCCAGGTAAATAAATACAGACATGTTTGTTTATTAATTAACGTTTATAATAAGCAGTGTTTATAACAAAAAACCTGTTTCAGGATTAATCTTAACGACACGTCCGGCGGTGAATAGTCCAACCCATAGGTTACCACTTTTATCAACAGTCATACCGTCGGGCATAACAACATCCGGGAAATCGGGGTTTTTGTTTAGGTTCACAAACACTCGTATATTTGCTGAAAAATTTAAAAATATAAAAGTTAATTAATAAAAATTATAGTAAATAATAGTTAAACATTTATCCTATTTATTTAGCTCTATAAAAATTTTCTATTAATTAAGCTAGATCAAATATAATACAAAATTGTCTGTACTTACTAGCAGTTCCATTCTTCAGGTCAAAGTCAAACACATATATTTTCAGGTCTCCGGAGTCGATGAGGTAGAGTCGGGTGTTGTCCGGACTCCAGGCCAGTCCATTAGCCAATGTGAACCCGGTGGCCATTTGCTCCAATCTACCATGCTCCAACTTGTACAGACCACCCTTATTCTCATCAGCCATAGTGCCGATCCATAGGCGGCCCATAGCGTCAGCTTTACCATCATTAAACCGTTGCTTGAGCTCAGCTACCGGTGCGGCCGTACGGGTAGTCGTGTCGTATTTGACCAGTTTGTTACGAACACTGACCAACAGGTGATGATCGCTGTCCTCATAGGGTATAGCAATAGTGACCAAATCCGCGGCACTGTATTTGTCAAGCTTTCTGGGGCTCAGGTGGTCGTCCTCGTGGTAAAAATTTCTGGTGAATGAGTCCGTAAAGTACAGGGTGTTTGTCTTGTAGTCCCAGTGCGGGCCATCACCTATAGTGCTGGCGACAGTACTGTATGGCTCCACTTTGTAGACACATTGACTGTTGCTAACTATTAAGGCAATTAGTAATATTGATGATTTTATTAAATTTAACATGGTTAAAATAATTTTTATTTAGCGTATTATGTTTAAAACAATATAAACTATGTTTATATAATAGAAATCCCGGATTTATCAATTGTTTAAATACCAAAATCTAATACAGTATATAAACTTTGAACGGCAGGTACTTTAAGATAAGCAATTTACACTTGCCTTCACATTAACTGAATAATTAATCGTTAATCTCAATGTACCTGGCTGTATAAAGTCTACAAACAATATAACTTTTTATGAAATAAAATACTAAAAAACAATGAAGGTTATAAGTTGTAATAAATATGAAAAATTGGTCAAGTAAAATTAATTTATAAATTATAATTCAAATAAGAACATTACTAAAAAAAATATATAAAATACATTTTTATTCAACAAGCAACTTTATTTATATAAATAACTAGCCAAAATTAATTATACTCCATTCGATCATTAAATTAAATATTAGGGTTAAAATGCGGCTCATGTCGGGAGCCCCGGAACCCGGGGTCGTCTGAAGTGATGCGAAACACTTTCCCAGCGTTTGGGTATTTCTTCAAATCCTGGCCATCTTTGCCGGTCGTCACAAACATCTGATCCAACGCCTCACCGCCGAAGGCCGGTGTTGTAGTCAATAGGGCCGGCACTGGTATAGACTGTTCAACTTTGCCTACAATTAGGGTTAGGTTAACAACAAACGAGTTAATTAATTAATTTTATAATAATTAACTTTGCGTACCGGTGTCTGTATTGATCCGTACGACACGTCCGCCGGCGTATAATCCGACCCAAAGTTTGCCACTTTTGTCAACAGTCATACCGTCCGACACTTCAGTGCTCTTGAAATCGGGGTTTGATTTCAAGTCTACGAAAACGCGTTTATTTTCTAACAAAATAAATAATTAATTAAAGACCTTGAGTTAAAAATGAGTTTAAATCAAATTATATAATACTAGTTAAAACAAATACATCAGTTAAATGTAAAATAATTAATTAATTATAATTAACCAAAACTATTAATGTAAAACATTAAAATCTCTATACATACTAACGGTTCCGTTCTTGAGATCAAAGTCAAACACATATATCTTGCGGTCTTCGGAGTCATTAAAATAGAGGCGACTGTTGTCCAGACTCCAGGCCAAGCCATTGGACAGCGTGAACCCGGTGGCTATTTTAACAAACTTACCATGCTCTAATTTATACAGACTACCCTTACCGGGCACAGCGCCTGAGGGGCCGTCCAGCACACTGCCAATCCATAGCCGGCCCATAGCGTCAGTCTTACCATCATTGAACCGCTCTTTACCCTGAAGTTCCGGTGCGATCTCAGCTACCGGTGCGACCGTACGGGTAGTCGTGTCGTATTTGACCACTTTATTGCGGACACTGACCAACAGGTGATGATCGCTGTCGGCATAGGGTATGACAATTGTGATCAAATCCTTAAGACTGTATTTGTCGAGTTGTCTGCGGCTCATGTGGTCGTCCAAGTGGTAAAAGTCACCGACAAATGCGTCCACAAAGTACAGTGTATTGGTCTTGTAGTCCCAGTGCGGACCCTCACCCAAACTGTAGGCGCCGGTGCTGTACGGCTCCACTTTGTAGGCACTTTGACTCCCGTGTACGGCCACTGTCAACAATAATACACATGATTTTAGTAACATTTTTAGTAGTGGTGGTAGTTTTACACTATTATTTAGTCTAAACAATAGTTAAATGTGATACAAAAAGTTACTTTATGTTTAAAACTATGCTAAAAATGTTAAATGACTTAACTATGACTTACCTTATATACTGTGCAAACCCGCATATAATGATTCATTATGTAATTAATGATGATATTGTGTACCAAACACTAGCGATAGTGAATTAATAAATGACAAAATAAAAACTGATGTATAGTTTTGAACTTTATTTCTATGTATGTTGTTTTCAAACCTTTATGCTGCAATTCAATTGAATTTTTTAAAAATAATTAATTGATCTGATATACAATCGTGAAAGTATTTTCACGACGCACAAGCAAATATCATGTGCATGTTTAGTGATTATTATTAAATATAATTAATTGTTTTATATTTGTTTTAGATTTAAAATATGTGTTTGAGTTATTTTTAATTAACTTTATTAATTATTATGCCAAGTATTTTTTTAAATCACGCAAATATTAATTTATTAAATGCTAAATACGCTTAAGTGAGTGAACGAAAAAGACTGGGAGTAAGTGAGAGAGAGAGAGAGAGAGAGAGAGACTAGTATTAAAAAAACTTACATTTTTCAAAGTTATCAATAGTTAGTTATTACTGTATTATTATATGATTACATACAGAGAGAGAGAGAGAGAGAGAGAGAGAGATGTATAAGGGATCTCATCCTTGGGAATAAATTTAATGTAAAATATAACTGTTATTAACGTTAACTATATTTCTGTCCAAAAACCAGTGTATAATTAGTAGTTATTATTGAATTAATGATTTATACAAAACTTTATTTTAGCATGAACGATTTATAATTAATGACTATTTACCCCTCGCGCTAATGATCGTTGTTATTGGGCTAACCTATGACCCGGGCTAACTCGGATGTGCACTATGTTAAAACATGTTTAAATTAATGATGTGTGCAATGCAAACTAGGTTACTTTCTATTTCACAGAAATACAACTTCCCTATTAATGACTTAATTTTTTTAATAACATAAAAACATTTTGTTTTTCAAAATACAGATTATAATCAGTATTATGTTTGGGATGCTATGCAAATATTATGTGAATTTTTAATAAACCACCATAATCTGTTTTATACGTTATAAGCTTAATATTATGCAAATTGTGATTGATCGCAGTTCTTTGGGATGTGCATGGTAAACTTCAACTTGACATTAGTCACAAATTCTAATAACCTAGATGCATTTTGGTTACATTTATTATATTTTAAAATAATAATTTGAATTAATTAGTGAATGGATCTAATATAATACAAGTTGTGTGAGTGAGTGAGTGATTGAGAGAGAGAGAGAGAGAGAGTTTTGTATTTTAAAACTATTTTTAAATAGGAAATATCTAACTTGATATACGCACAAATACTTTACTAAACAAGGCTAATTTGTCTATTTATAACCAGAATTTTGCAATTGTCTATATTTGTAATGATATCTTTTTAAAAATTACCTTATATATTTAATATAAATTCAATGTAAATAATTAAATCTAAAATTTAAGTTCATAGCATAAATAATTTATTTTAAAATGTTTGCTCATTATAATAATAGGCATACACTATTTAATTTGTTATTAGTTATTGCAATTATAAATACTGCAAATGGTCATGGTAGGCTAGTAGACCCACCATCCAGATCAAGCGCCTGGCGGTACGGGTTTGATACAACTAAAAATTACGATGATCATCAATTATTTTGCGGTGGCAAACAAGTAATAGCAATTATATTAATTAATTATAAAAATAATGTAATATTACTGTAACTACTATTATTAATTTAAAAAAACTAACCAGTACCAAAGGGATCATGGTGGAAAATGCGGCATTTGTGGCGACCGAGTTGGCGGACCCCTCGAAAACGAGCTGCCAAATGGACAATATGCCAAAAACTTGGTCATTACACGCAAATACAAAGTGGATCAAACTATAGAGGTCAAGGTGGAATTGACAGCAAACCACGCTGGTCACTTTCAATTTAAACTATGTCCGGCCACCAGCAAACAGCACGAGGTCAGTCAGGACTGTCTGGACAAACATACACTACTTATGGCCGATGGCGGGTCCGACAGGTATACTGTGCCGTCAGAAAAGCCCCGGATATACACCATTGGCTTACGTTTGCCGTCTGGTGTCCGCTGCGATCGGTGTGTATTTTAGTGGACGTATACCGCGGGTAATGATTGGATGCAGTGTCCGGACGGGTCCCACGCCGTCGGGTGCGGAGTTCAGGAGACTTTTCGCGGCTGCGCTGATATTGCTATCAATTAAAATGTTAATCATCATGATTTATTAAATTATTTTGTTGTATTTTATATAATAATGTTATTTATTAATAATACTAATATCAAATAAAAATATGAGTTTAATAGTAAAATTAATTATTTTTAAATGAATTATGGCTAATTTCTTGCCTATGCTTTGATTAATATAATAATTACATTAATTTAATTACAACTTCATACATCAATGTACATTATAAATACCACCTTATATTACATCTAAAACAATTACAAGATATATTAGATCGTGATAATAAGAGCAAAATAAGCTAGTTGATTTATGACCCGGAATTTCTGTCAGAGAGTTATTAAACTTAACTTTGTAGAAAATTACACCTCGTTCAATACCACGAATTTTAGTTTAAAACTATGAATACTTTAGAAATGAAATATGGTACATATAATAACAAAAGCGGGATATTATTATGATGAGCTAAAATCTTAAGTGGTTTTATGAAATCGTGTACATAATCATGATAACTTAAATCAACGTACAGTATATATTTAATAGGAACTTATATTAATAATCATTTTCCAGGCACTTTCTAATATGAATTCTAATGAGAACTTTTGTATGTTAGTTACCTTAATGCAATATATTTTAGACATTATCACCCATGATGACTTTTTCCATCTAAATCCGGTATAATTATCGTTATTCATAAGAAGTTATTTTAAAATGTTCTTGTTATATTATTAATAGGTATACTTATCTACAAAACTAGATATAACATTACATTAATAAAACGATCCAACCAATTGAAAAAGTATCAAGATTTATCATGAAACATTTACTATATAAATAACAATGACTTACAATTAAAAGTTTCTAGCGTTAATATTTAAGAAAGCAGTTACTACATTGTTTTTAATTTTACAAAAAAGCATATAACTTAAATAAAATGATTTCAAACCATGCTATCACAATTATTGGCCTTATAGCAATATTTACCCAGGCACATGGCCGTGGCTATCTAGCCGACCCGCCATCACGGTCCAGCTCTTGGAGGCTGGGCTATAATACACCTAAAAATTACGACGATAGCGGTCTAAACTGCGGCGATTGGACAGTATGGACCATCATGCTTTTTAATTATTAATTTAATATACAAAATAAATTAAAATGTTTATTATTTTACCCTCATCATAGGATCAATGGGTGAACAATAAGGGAAAGTGCGGTATATGTGGCGACCCATACGAGGGTCCGCTCAACAACGAGTTGCCCGACGGTCTGTACGCCAAACCGCTGGTCATTACCGGCAACTATACCGCCGGCCAAACGGTGGGCATTAAACTAGTGATAACATCAGTCAAGAGGGGGTACTTCCAGTTCCGTCTGTGTCCGGCCACCACTCAGGCCACTGAGGTTAGCCAGGAATGTCTGGATCAGCACCTGCTACAGGTGCTCAACTCGACCGATCCCACCAAGTTTACCGAGTTGAAATCTAGCGTAGTCAATTATACTGTCCCAGTCCAATTGCCCGCCGGCCTGAAGTGTGATAGATGTGTCATTCAGTGGACCTACACGACAGGTAACCGGTGGGGAAAGTGTCCGGACGGTCACGAAGCCGAGGGCTGCGGCCCTCAGGAGACCTATAGGGGCTGCGCCGACGTTGCCATTTATTAATTAAATTATTTTTGTTAATAAAAGTTTAAATAAAACAATATAAAAATTTTTAATAATTTAATAGTAATTATTATAAAATAGTTTGTTTAAATATAAATTTAGTATTATTATGTCCATGGTAATTAGAGTATAACTATTTTATTCTGTTTGCTTTAGAATTAGTTTAAAGTAAATTTATTATATTAAATACATAATTATTTTCTGGTTTCATTATATATTTTGAAATAAAAATGTTTATACGATATAAATTTTATTGTGGCAAAGTTTAGTAATTTTAATAGCAAATCAAATTTAATAAGCGCATTATTTATTTGAAGATTTATAAATTTAATTTATATTTTATATATAGAATTTTAAGTTAGATCTCTCTCTCTCTCTCTCAATCACTCACTCACTCCCATATTTAATAAATAGAATAATAAAAAGCTCTATATAAACTTATTTATTCTTGTGATTTAATTTATTTTATCATAATTAAATTGTATTTAGTAGTGAATTTTGATACACAATATACTACACATAAATTGTATTGAGTACTAATAAATAATCTATGGTTAGCACACAATTTCATCTGATTAAAAAACATTTCACTAGAACTCTAGTATTGTTTCAGGTGACCAAACTTACAGGTTAGCTTGGGTAATTGTTAAACTTACATAACTATAATAGGATACAGTAGGAACTTGATCAAGAATAACCAATTAATTATAAAGATTAAATCTACTTAATAATAGCGATTAAATACATTTTTCTAGATAAACCTTTTTGCAAAACCAACACTATTATTTATAATTTACTTAAATCCTATTACTATTATAAATAACATTGCAATTCTAGTACAATGTACTTAATTATCAAATTCATTGTACTAGAGGTCACTTAATCACAAATCACCCAAGCCTTTTTAATTGATATCATCCGGGCGTGCCATTTATACAATTAATTCTAAATCTGTATATAAACAAGCAACTTTTATAGCAATTTTTATTCAACCAATGTATAAATACCAATATTTTATCTAATTATTCTTCATTAGTATTAATAAATTGTATAAAACCAACCGAGATGAATGCTAATATTGTTACTACAATTGCCACTATAGTATTGGCAACTATATCGGGCAGCAATGGTCACGGCTATCTGGCGGACCCGCCATCCCGGTCGAGCGCCTGGCGTTTTGGCTTTCATACCCCCAAAAACTATAACGATAACCAACTGTTTTGTGGCGGCTTTAAGGTAAATTAAACTCATATATATTAATATATACCATTATTAAAATTACATGTTATACCTGTTGCCCCCGTAGGATCAATGGGACGTCCATAAGGGAAAGTGCGGTATATGTGGCGACCCATACGAGGGTCCGCTCGACAACGAGTTGCCCGACGGTCTGTACGCCAAAAATCTGGTCATCACACGTAACTACACGGCTGGTCAACAGATAAACATCAAGGTAGACATCACGGCCAACCATAACGGGTACTTTGAGTTCAGACTATGCCCGGCGACAATCAATACCAAAGAGGTTACCCAACAGTGTTTGGATCAGCACCTGATACATGTGCTTAACTCAACGGATCCGACCAAATACATGATGCTGTCCGATAAGATCCAGATGTATACAATACCCGTACAATTGCCTGAAGGCCTAAAGTGCGATAGATGTGTCATTCAGTGGACCTACACGTGCGGCAACCGGTGGGGCACGTGTCCGGACGGCCATCAGGCAGAGGGTTGCGGTCCTCAGGAGACCTTCAGGGGATGCGCTGACGTTAACATTCACTAATCGTATTTAATTATTATAATAAATAATAAAGTTTATATTGTATAACCATTATTTAAATGTGTTTAATGATGATGATTTATAAATAAAACATATATAAAGTATTCTGTCTGAGGTTTATTAGTTGTTTAACATAAATAAATTATTATTATTATTAGCATTATTAGTTATTTTGATATGTATTATCTGATGATTTGATATTTATCAGTAACTTTTAATTGAATTTGTAAATATATGTTAATATTTTTGTTTAAATTTTAATAAATATAAATAGCCAATATTAACATTAATTATTTTAATAATAATTTTCTCTCTTTCTCTAAACTAATTTTAAACTTTATTAAATTACATTAAATTTTGTTTTGATAACACAAATATAAAGTTCTAATAATAACCGCAATAAAAATTAAGTTCTTTTGTTGCAATTAATTAGTAAAGATTAAGATTATGTTTTATGTGATAGGAATGATTAGTGATAGGAATTAGAACAACTGCCGTTAATTATACAGTAGGTAAATAGCATTTCATTAGTTGTTTTGTGGTTACATTTCTGACTGTAAAGTAAATGTTGTATTCATATAATATAATCTGGAACAATTTAATAATTATTAAATTTGGTTTGATACATCACAAATTTTGTAATAACAAATTAATTATTACATTATAATTATTACAAAAAATATATTTTATTGTCTTTTATTTGTTGTATGTTAATATTCAATAATTAATTAGATAAAAATAAACAATTCAAACGGGTTTAACGTAGGTCCAAATGATCAACCGGATCATTTTTATATTAATAGTTCCGTAAACTTAATTTGAGTACAGGATTTGTTAACAAAATGTTATTTTTACCTTTAGGTGTTACACTAAACTCACCTCAAATAAAGTTAATGCAATTCTTGGTAAAGCACTTAAACATGCATTTATATCAGAGTAATTGATTGTAATTAATTGATTAATCAATTGTCTGGTACTTGAGTTACAAGTGGTGTTATATTGTCACCCATGGGATTATCCGGGTAGTGATCACGAGTGGCGAATGCAACTCACTATTATCTCGATGACAACAAATATTATATTTTGAAATCCTTTTTAACATGGTATATAAAGCACCGACAATTAGCAAAAAATTAACCATAATTAATTTATTAGTAATTAATCCTAAAATTTCTATAGCTAACCATAATCAACTACTATGAACAACATAATTGTTATAGTGTTAATTAGTTGTGTGGCTTTGGCCCAATGCAATCGAGGTAATACATTATATTTTATATAAAATTATCACGAGTAAATTTAATATATTTGATTTTATAATCCAACCTAGAGCCTCGATTCGCGCCATACATATTCCTATCAAAGTCATTGGACTTCAAACTCGTTGAATTTCACAAACAACATGGTATTAACGCATTTTCTCTGGCATTTGCTCTATCTGACAATGGTGCCTGTAAACCTTCATGGTTTGACAACGTGCCCATTGATGACCCGACTATTGTCAAAGAGATTCAGGCGTTTAGAGCACTCGGCGGTCAACTGATTGTGTCGACCGGAGGGGCCGGTGGGCTGTATCTGGAAAACTGGTGTCATTCGGTCCAAGAGCTGACCGCAGCCTATAAACAGGTACTGTCTGTGACGGGCGCTACCGGTTTGGATGTGGACGTAGAGGTGTCCTTACCTTTGGATGTAGTGATGGGAGCTCTGGTCGCCATTCAGAAGGAAAATCCCGCGATTACCGTTAGCTTCACTGTTCCCGTACGTAATATTTAGATTAACATGTTCATTTAACAATAATTTAATGTTATTAACAGTAATTAATAATAATTAAACATTTTTACCATATACTTTCTACAGACTCAGGGCGACGACTACGGTATGAACGACCCGTACGGCGTGGATGTGCTGAAGAGTGCGGCCGCACACGGCGTAAACGTAGATGTAGTTAATGTAATGGTAATGGACTTCAAGACCAGCAAACCCGGGCGCTCCTATGGCGAGGCCATCACTAAAGTGGGCGAGTTTTCTGTCCAACAAATGGCCAAAATATGGCCACAAAAGTCCGAGATTGAGCTGTACGGCATGCTTGGACTGACCCCGATGCTCGGGCTTAACAATAACCAGGAACATTTTATGCAGAGCGATGCCCAGGCGGTGGTGGCATTTGCCAAACAGAAACAGATAGGTCATTTGGGTTTCTGGTCAATTAATCGTGATAAACAGTGCCGTAAGGTTAGCCCCAAGTTTAACGGTAACAGGGTGGAGCCCGACCCAGATTGTTCCAATGTACAGCAACAGGCGTTTGAATTCACCGACATATTCAATACCATTTTCCAATAAAACCTGAATTATAATATAACTTTTATTAGTGGTATTTATTTAGAGTCACCAATTGTTTAAACTTATTTAAAATTAATTTGATAATTAATAAAAGTTGTCTGGAATAATATTTAATTATTTTATTATATCATTTATAATAATAACTTGTTATTTACTTTAAATATTACAATTAATAACAATGTTTAAAGAATACAATACTACTATAACATTACAAATATCTAGAATTTATAGAATTTAATTTTCAATAATTTTTATTTTAATTAATTGAAGGAGTTATAAAATAAATATTATAGAATTAAATGGTATTTTTATTAAATTAATTCTAATGTACTGATATAATTTTTGTTACTTGATTAAGAAATGGCACATTTCCAAACATGTTTATGTTTAGTAATTATTTACCACATTTAGTTAATGGGTATAATAAATATTTTTTTAATTATAAAATAATTTTTTTAATTAACACAATTATTACAATTGTAACATTAGTTTGTTTATAATTACAAAAATTATTAAAAATCTATATTCTCAAACACACCTAGCCACCGCAATTAAATCATTTATGTCATTGTATTTGAGTGTTTATTAATTTTATCTATCAAAAATATAGTTGAAAATTCAATAAAATTTTATGTTTCAATTTTAAATAACTTAAACGCGCATAGATTGCGCGAGTGTGCAATATTAATTAATTAATTAATTATAACATTAATAATAAATTAATTAATATTATATTATATAATAATATTATATTATATTAATAATATAACCATCATTTAGAAAAGTAAACCCCAACTAATCACTTGAAAAATGTAAGTAAACGTTTATAAAAACAATTAAATGTATGTAATATTTAATAAACAAAACTAATTATAAACATGACTAGTATGGCAATTAAGCTAGTGGCGATCGTGTTGATGGTGTTGGTGCTTGGTCAATCACTGACCGACGTGGCATACGCTGAGCCTCCACCCCAAAAGGACGAGCCCGACCCGAAGGATTGCACTGAATTAAAGTGCAATAAGCAAATCGGCGAGTATTGTAAGATGATAGACATTAAATACCATAAGGGCCCCGCTTGCATTAAACCCCGTTACATAATAAATCCAGTGTAACTCTTATTGAAGAGAGCGCACAACTATTTGTGTGCATATATAACAAGTTCTGTATTTTTTAAATGTCATAATCACTAAATGATTTATATAAAATTAATTGCTTATTGAACTCTATTTAAAAATTATTTATTTAATTAATTTTTCTATTGTTATAGTTATAAAAATGAAGTTAATTTTTCAAAATAAAACATATGGTTTGTTTTATTTAATTGTGTTAATAATTATACAGTTATGTCATGGAGTGAAATGCTTAGAAGGACACTATTGTGTTGGCCAGGAAGTTACTTATGCCAATTGCATGACGATATACAGGTAATGTTATTATTTTTAAACATAGTTTTACTTTTTCGCCGCTATTTGTTTGCTTAAAACAGTTTTGTATTTTTTAAAAATATTATAATTAATGTATAGATTATATAAAAGTAATTGTTTATTGAACGCCGTTTAAAAAATGTATTTTATTAATTCTGATTTTATAATACTTTAATTAAACTGAAAGTAATTATTATAATTTAACGGTACGCCTGATATTGAAGAGCATTTTTAGGTGTAATAACGGGTAGTAATTCATACGCTTAGAAAGTAGTTTACTTAATTAAGAGTTAAAATTATATAAAAATAGCACATGATGAATTTCGTTACAAAATTTTGACATTATTATAATAAAATCTATAATTTAAACAATATAAAATAATAATATTAAAAACTTAAACTTTAAAAAGTACAACGTTACTTTAAGTGTAGAAACATTAATTTTATTCTAATTACTATAATAAATCGCGTTTATTGCAATATTTTAATTGATAACAACATTACTGTTAAACATTCTCATTCCAGATTCTAAACAATCTTTACGTCTCCACAGCCCCGGAATGTCTCCTGAGGTCCGCAACCCATACGCTCGACACCGTCCGGACACATACCCCAAGAGGTGGCTGTAGTCCACGTCCACTGCACTACACAGCGCTCGCACTTCAGGCCGTCGGGCAGTTTGACAATTACGTCATA